TGCCCACATGCGCCACATCCAAAGGCTGTCAGGCTCTGTCCCCAAAAGCCCAGACGCCCTAAAACAGGTTTGGCGTTTAGGGCTTAGGCCATTCTACATACTTTGTGTGCAGCTGCAGCTGGGAGGCATTCGCCGCAGTTGCCGCTGGCTGGCGAGCAAAGGCATAGTTTCCTATGCTGATGGAAGGTTTGCTATGAGGAAGCCCTGTAGGGGCGCCATGTAAGAGGATCCCATGGTAGCAAACCCCTTTAAGGAGTGTTAGAGATTCCGTACTTCTGGGACCCCTTATGTAAGTTTATGGTTGAGGGCTTAGCGCTGAAGAGTGAAGAGTTGTTTAAGTCCATGGCTAAGGCTTTCCGCCATATCTTAAATTTCCGTATGCGCATTTCTCGAATCTAGTACACGCCGGTATGCCAGCCCCGCAAGAAATGCCCATGTTCCTCCAAAGGGCTATGGCACTCATGTTCTGGACCCCATGGGGCCCCATGTAGGGTTTGAATATTGGGTTCCAAGGCTTTAGGCTTTTGAGCTTAGGTCTTTCTTTCAATTCCATAGTTTTCGCAGAGGGTAAAGACTTAGTGCATGATGTGGGTTGCCAGGATTGTTGTATGAAACCTTGCAGGAGTAAACCTTGTCTAGCTAATCTACACAAGGGCGACAGACCCCAAAGGAAGAACTGAAAATCAATTTCAGAAGGCCTTTCCACAAATGTTTAGGGCTCTATCGCAGATTGCGCAACCTGGGGTTCCTCCGTTTAACTGATGAAGCTGTTTAGGGCGGAGGGCCTGACGTAGGGCCCCTGCGAGTTAGGGTATGGGTTCATTGCCGGTAAGTGCTGTGGGCGAAGGGAGCCTAGCCCTAAACCCTAAATCGTTATCCGAAAGGATCACCTTAACCGTCCAAACCCCAGAGTCTCCATCCCGAACACCCTGAACCCAGAACCCAACGTCCTATAAACCCCCGAACAAGAACCCCTGAGCTCGAATCCGAACCTATTGTTTCAAGGTGTGAGTTTAGGTTGCATGGCTTGCAACTTAAAAAGGTTTATGGGCTTGAGTTCGCATGGACCCCATGGAGCACGCCTTTGCGTTATGTTCTCCAAGTTGGTAATATATAGCACTTAACGCTTATTGGTTGAAACGGTCCATATAGCCCTCAGCCCTAAACCCCTTGAGAAGGGTTATGAAGGAAGTACAATATCAAGTCCCAGGCTCCTACGGTTTTCGGTTTAGGGTTTAGCATTTTGGGTTTACCGCTAGATGTACTGCAGGGCCATGATGATGAAAAGGGGAACTCCGCACACAAGGAGCTTCGTTGGTAGTTGAAACTTCGATTGCTGAAGTGGGATCGGAGAAATAGTAAGAGAACTTCAACATGTTAATATATGGGAAGGCTCTGTAGGAGGGATGCACCGAGGACCCTGGAGATATTAGGGGCTAGAAGGAGATTACAGGGCTCCGCTCTAGAGATTCTGTTGTGATGAGATATCAGAAGCTACCATATCAAGTTACCGTATCGAGACAGCCTGACCTTATCAGTGTGTGAGGGTATCGCGCGTCACCAGAGCTTGGCCGTGAAGGAGGCGTGATCCACCTGAGACAACGCAAGCCTGACTTAGGCCCGTTATGGGGGAAGAGTGAAAATTATGATCCTTTCTAGGTATCCTTCATATTAGGGGCTGTACTTCTCATGTGGGCCCGAGACAGGACCATAATTCTGCCAACCTGCTGTAGCCTTTTTAGGTGAGGACCACACCTTCTGGCTTAGGCGATGGCCACGAAGAACGAAGAGGCACTTCAATTTAAGGTCTAAGAAAGAAACTTACTAATGGTTTCCTATATGGGCGACAGTCAACATTTCCTGCGTAATTTAATGGACATGGGTTCCTAGTTAGTGAATTACTTAGGAACTATATCAAACTACATGGGGAACCGCTATGAAGGGTCCCTAAGCAAGGCTACTGTTGACAGTAGCTCATAGAATCTATTCCCTTCTTCTAACCACCAGTAAGAAAAATATGCAGACTAAACGAAAGTTCAACTTCAAGGCTTCTGAAATGATCGCATTGAACAGGCCGTGGCGTATGCAGGGCATATGCTCAGGGCCTTAAACCCTTTGGGGGTTGTAAAGGTTTCTGTTTGTCAACCAGGGTTTCTGTCAATCGGGTCGCTCGAGCTTAGGGGCGTTGTATAGGGATTGTATTCCCATATTCCCTACTAAGCACCAGTAAGCTAAGTCTTCACGCATTAAACTTGTGGACTTGTAGAGTCTGAGGGAATGCTGTTTGGGCTCCAACAGTCACATCTGTCACCCCAATTGTTGCAGGCAGCTTCGCAGTCCATGGCACAGAGTTTTGTTTGGGCAAACGCGCGACTTTGCAAGGCTCTGCAAGCAAGCCCTGACGCGGAAGAGATTTGCATGAAACTCCATGCAACATCTCAAGCGAGCAGTGGAAACATGTGTGTCAGGGCAGGGTTTCCTAGCTCAAAGCCCTTGGATTGGAAAATTGTTGCAACGAGGCCACAGGCCCGGCAAGCTTCAGAGCCCCAGTCCAAACAACTCTTAGAACCACATATGTGTTGTTTCCCAGCTGCGGGTCTAAAAGGAATCCCGCAAAAATGCGCCCCCGCTGGTCAATAACAAAATTCAGGAGAACCCCAGTCCAGAAGGTCATGGAGTGTTCATAGGTAGTCTTGGAATACTATCTGCGGCTTTAGTTTGGCCTTTCAGGAGTTGCACGCCCTCCCCGCAGAGGTGAACAGGAACTCGGAATTGGGGCTTGGGGGATTAACCTCCCAATGTCATCTATTCCGTTTGCTTCTGCTTACAGGCCGGACTCCCAAAAATGAGCACCTGGGCGATCCCTGTGGGAAGGGTTCCCGTATATATCCCCAATATATCTCGTCTATGAAGAACCCTAACCTTAAACCCCTTTTTCCGACAAGCCCAGACCCATCTGCCTGATAGCCTGCGGGTCTCCAAGCCTCAGGACCAGTAGTGCTTCGGGATGTACAGGGTTTAGGGTTCAAAAGCGAGGGCTCAGGGTTTGGGGTTTAGAGCTTTGGGTTTAGGGACGTATAGCCCCGTTTATATACAACCTACTTACTCAGTCGCCTAACATCAAACCCTAAGCCCTTTACATCCCTGTACCCCCAGTAAAGGGGTGCCAGTAACCCATAGAACCCTGAGCCTCCGCAGCAAAATGTTGTGGGTTTTCCCTGCGCGTTTTACAACTCCAGGACTTTTATAACCCTAAACCCTAATTACTGAGCTCTAGGGTTTAGGACTATTCTCGTTGTGACTGCTACTATTCATGTGATTATTGCAAACGCTGGTATTATTCTTGTTATTACTGTTGCTATCGTCATTGTTGCTATTCTTGTAGGGGCTAATTCTATGAACATAATCTAATTTCCAATCTGAAGATACTGATGGTACTTGCTTGGAGCTCCAAAGGTTTGGAGCGAACCAGAGTCCGAAGGTTCAGAAATTCTGCTGCGGTGTAAAATTTCTTGACAGCCCATCTCCTAACCCTAAACCATTGCGCACTGGGATGAGGGTGCACCGTCGGGATTTAAGTTGGGGTTCTTTTTGCAGTCAACAAGTTCTTTACCAAGTGCACGGACAACAAATCAAGCGCCTACCATTTCGTGAGGCTTCATCTACCAACCTTTCCTGTAAATAAGCATGTTTTGCACGCTTTTCTGCAGCGTGAACCAGCTGAGAGACCTCTTCGAGGTACAGCGAGCTTCTATACGGGCCGCCAAGGTACATGCCTTGAAGAAAGCCCAAACGAATTACTGAACCAGCCTTCTATTTCTTTCTGGCTCACTTTTCTGCGCTGAAATCTTGCATTTCTTCTTCTTGGCTGAGCTGAGGCTCTTGAACCCCACCGAACCCATGACCTGAAGTCAAAACTAACAATTCGTCAACTAGCTAACCGGGGTTGTTCTGAACTCTCGTCTCCTTTTGGGCCCCTAGTTTTTGGCATGCTGCTTAATATGTAGGGCACCCACAACAAAGCCCAGAACTTAGAACAACCCCCCCTAATTTCCAAATGTAAGCATATGAAGGGTGCAAGGTTGCAGCCAAGCGGTTCAGATGCAAACGGACCATGTGGGCATTTCTCAAAACTAGGGTCCTCGACATACCCCACCCCCCCAAGAGGATAGAGTGAATATTCAAGGTTCCGTAGTTTTTGAGAAGCACCCACTCAAAAAGTTTTTCTTCTATATCTGGTGGTTTCCATAAACAGGGGGCCGCGATATGGACCCCAAAACTTAAACCTTAAACTCGAAATCCTAATCTCTGAGCTCTAAACCCTAATCCTAAGGTACGAAATCCTCAGAATAGGAGTGCCTGAACAGCGGCCCACAAGCTTTGGAAACCTAAAGCCCTGCATGCTCCTTCTTATATGACCCCTCTCTATATATATATATACATATACTGTCACAGAACACCCAAAAATATTTGAAAACCCCAGGCCGTGGATTTTCTTATGGAAGCCCCAAGTATGTGACATCATGTCTAAATCCCTCTTAAAGGGACTCCCCAAGTCTTGTGTATGTCCTAAATATGCTCTATTATACCCCCTTTACAAGGGATCTCTTTTTCTGACCTCCGGGCAAGTGGTGCATAGCCTCTTCAAAGGCATATAGGATTGCATGGGGTTTCTATAAAGGCTGTTTCTGTACGGCGGTTTCAGAGCTACTGGTAAAGGTTAAGGGTCTCAGAATTGGAGTTCGGGGTCTGGGGTTTAGGGCAAAAGGCTGTAGGGATGCGGGTTTCGGGCTTAGGCTTCAACGGTTTGGGGTTCAGGGCTCTGGGCTTTGGGTGACAGGATTCAGGGTTTAAGGTCGTCTAAGGCTTTTCTGAGCTGAACCCTTTGGCTCATGTTAGCAGCCATACCATCCACAAAGTCTACAGCTTACCCGCTAGACAAGCATATTTTGAAACCCCAAGCCCCCAAAAGGTTTGAGATTGCCCTGGAACCACGCGGATCAGCTGCGGCCCAAAGCTTGCATCAGCCTCCGTTCTCTGCCCTCCAACACCTCCATCGAGTTCCTAAATGCAGGGGCCTAAGGTTTCGGGTTCAGGGTTAAGGGGTTTGGGATATTATCCCAATAATGGAGAGCCAGATGAAAGAGAAGATAAGACATGAGCTGGAAACTGGGGTTGTCTTATGGAAGGCAATGGCCTAAGCTAGCATTCACACATTTCTGAAGTTTATTCAACGTACCCTGTACCAGACTCGTACAAGCAATCGTGACAATATATATGTTGGTTATTGTTTTGGGCCCCCATGGTAGTTGTTCTTTTGGGTGCATATAGTGAAAATTTGTATGAGGATTGGTGGGGACCTCATAACCTGCAAAATAGCATGCAGCTTTGGGGTCTCCACTTAAATGAGAGTTGTTACGGATCGAGTATCCTTATGATTAGAAGAGGGCCTGGAACTTACATAAGGGTGGTTTGGGAATAGTAAGTGCAAGTGCAGCGTTTGTAGCTTTTCCCAGGCTATTCTTTTTTGTGAATACTGGGCATTGCATTAAACCCTAAATCCTAAATCATAAATCCACAGAAAAAGGCTACCCACTGGACAGGTAGGCAACAGCGGCATGGAGCCCTCATCTTTGCCATTCATGAGGAAGATGCATCCTTAGCCCCTACTGCACTAAAAAGAAAAGAGGTTCCTTTGCTGATGATATACACGACCCAATTCCCTTCAAAGTGCTGAGGATCCCCAAAATTCACCCAGCTTCCACCCAACTCTACAGCCTGCGATTCCTGTCTGCTGGCGGTCAATTTGGGACCGTCACTCCGGCGGCCAGACGTGAGATCGTAGACCTGTTCCGGCCATTTTAGAAAACTACACCAATCATGGCGACCTTCTATATAATCTATCATCCGGCGTCAGGTCGGTTTAATATGCCCGGCCTCTGTAGATGACATGCTGTCGGAAGAACCCCAGCCTCCCATGACATAAACGCAGTTTCCCAAGGTGGCAGCCGCAGGAGAGTTTCGGGGCTGGCTCATGCTTGGGCCACAGCTCCAGGCGCCCCAGGCAGGATCATAAACTTCCATGCTTTTCAGGATCGTCATATGGCTCTGACCACCTGCGATGAGAATCTTGTTGCCAACCACTGCGGCGGCTAGGCTGTGCCTGGCCTCCAGCATCGGGGCCACTTGAGTCCAGTCTTGCACTTCCTTTATCAAGACCTGAACAGATCTGTATGTATTTCCCGTTTCCAAACCACCCAGTACGTAGAGCCGATTGTCTAGCACCACAGACGCATGAAACTCGCGGCACACAGCAAGGTCTGGTCCATTCACCCATCCACCTCTGGGCACTAAGACCTCACTACTGCGCACGTACCTTTTGCCATCATTGCCTCCAGTAACATAGATCTGGTCACCCAGAGTCGCAGCTGCTAAGCCCTGCCTTGCACAACGCAGTCTAGGCCCCTTGCTCCAGCCTTGACTGGAGGGGTCGAATATATCTGTAGAGTCTAGGGGTCCAGTGTTATGTCTTTGTCCACCGATCACATAAATTTTGCCGTTCAGCACTGCCGCAGCGGCCTGGGTCCTGTGCTGCGGCGTTGCTACACTTGCTGCCTGGGCCCGAGTCTGCAACATGCCCAAAAGCATCCTTGCCCACCGACAAAATCCCTGAACACCCCGACAACTTCCCCTTTCAAGCTCAGTGACCGGCAGAAAAAAATTCTGTTTATGCCCTTACATAAAGTTAAATAGCCCTACAACCCAGGAGCCTAGTGTTTAGGTACCGGGGCTTCGAGGGACTTCTAACAGGCTCCCAGCAGCGAATGCTTCCGGCGTTACTGGCGCTTCCAACTCTGCCATTGTAGGCAGCTTGGCCAGCACCTGTCCGGAGCTAAATTATCGTTTCCCTACCGTTCCGCACATTTCATGAACCTTAATCCTCCTGCAAAAAGTCCAATCCAGAGTGACCTTCTGGCGGAGTCTAGGGTAGTAGGGAACCCATAAGATAAACCAAGCAATGGATTCCGACAAGAAACGCTGTAAGACAACCATAGTGATGTCTACACTATCACTCATCCAGCAGTGATGACTCTATCTGCACAATTGAACCTAATTGGGGGTTTCCCAAATTAGGGAGGTACCGTTTTGGGATTCCCAATAATAAGGGCTATGCTATATTGGGGTCTATATTGGGGTCCCCCTATTTTGGGAAACTACCAAGCAGAGGTTACAATGACTCTGTTCCTTGCAAACCCTACTACTGCTTTATGACGTTAACCTATTGGAGGTACATATTTACGGCGAAGGGGTTCCAGGGATCAACACCAGGCGAAGTGCTGGCGCAAGGAAGTTACATGCAGGATGTAGGAAGGTCTCATCATGGTCGCTGTCACCGCGAATCCTGGGCGGCTCAGTTCAGAATCAGGAACATCAAGCCATTGATCTATCCACGGGTAGGGCTTAGGGCCGCTTATGGTTCCGGAGAAGGAAGATAAAGTATGTTTTCATCATGTCCGATTCGTCACAACGCAAGGCCTCAAAAGTCCCATGACGCAAGCCCCTCAAGCGTCAACCTTGACCAGCAACCCGCACCCTAAACCATATAGCCCCCCTCAAGGAGATAGAATATGGGGTATATGGGGATCTTATTATAATCTACCCAAAGCCAAATTCTATCTACTCAAGGGGGACCATAAACCCAATAACCCCAATATTATGACCCCAATATATACCCTATTATGATGTAGTTGTTTCCATTTTCTTTTCCATTATCCCGATACAACTCCAGTAAACCCACCAATGGACTATAAACCCTAAACCCTAAACCCTAATCCCTAGCTTAAGGGGGACCATAAACCCAACCTGGAGTCTGTCTGCACTCCACTGGGATGGTCTCCTTCAGTAGCCATTCCTCCAATACCTGGGCACTGACTTTATGTCTTACGACTTGCTTGAGCGTAGATCGTCGATAGTTTCCATTTTCTGTATAATCCTGTCTCTACCCTTCTACAACCCCTTTTATCCCTTCGTATTCTATGTATTCTATAAGTTCCATACTGTTCCGGGTAGGGCTTATGTTGCTTTTTGAGTCCCTAACTGTTATTGTCCACTCGTATGGCAAAACGAAAAATCTATAAAGAAAACCTGTCGCGCGCATCACGTTGGATTATGGCGGAATCGGACAATTTTGCGCCCAAAACATTTCCGGACCCAAAATAGCACCCGCCTAAAGAATCCCCACCCATGCTGCGTGATCTCTGGGTCATGTCAAGCTGTTGTTGGAGGGCTGGCGCCCGCTAAGTCAAACCTAAACCATAGACTGGCATGCTGATGGGCGTGAGAAAGGTTCGGTCTCGATGGGTAAAACAGCCCCGGGCTCCATGCAGGTAGGTAGAAACAGCCACTTTGTGGGGATTAGCCACGGCGGACACAATTGTATTCGTAACATGAGCAACCAGCCTATGCTGAGCCTCTGGAAACATCAAGCGCCTGCTGTTGTCCCTGCAACCTTAGTGATACTTGGAGGGTCAGGGGATCTTGTAAGTAGGTCAACAATGGAGATACGCGGGTTCATCATGTGACCTGCAGTGGCTTCAAGTGTTTTTACAGAACTTGCCAAGTCCACCCTACCATCAAGCTAGAGCTTGCTGGCCAATAAGCACTGTAAAGGGGACCCGAAGAAGAAGACATAATATATAATTTGGACAATGTTTGAACTGACATGGAACTCCCATAACCCCTGTCCGAGTGATTACAATCCTCTGAAACAAAGGGTTCAACAACATGCTTCAGCTTATCCCCTTAAGCCAGTAACTATAAATCCGTAAACCCTACACTCCTGAACCTTAGACGCCTAGACCCCGAGCGCCTGCACCGAACTCCCCAAAACCTAAGCCCCTTTTGAACCCGTACTGGAGCTCACACCCAAACCTATCTTCATATGCTCCTGTATAAGCCTGCAAAGCCTTCATAAAATCCCTATATTGTCGATATTCCATGTCATTTGCACTTTGATTGCCCATTTGCCCATTTGGTTGTATGGTGACCTTAAACCGTAAAAGTAGCAATGTCTATTCAAATGTGCGTTTTATCCCTTTGATTCTCCTTTGCTTGGGTACGAACCCCTAAACGAAATATGTTTCCCTACTGTCCCTTGTATGCCTCTATATGCCGAATCCCTCTACAACCCCAAATGAGCCCGAAATCAAGCCCACATCAACCATTTAGGGGCCGTAAGTAAAGACCCTACGCCCTGTAACTCCAAACCCTAAGTCCCCCTTAGGTAGATAGAATATGGGGTATATGGGGATCTTATTATAATATACCCCAAGCCAAATTCTATCTACTCAATGGGGACTATAAACCCTAAACCCTAAATAGTAGTTTCCATTTTCTTTTCCATTATCTATAGGACCCCCATATTCTATCTATTAAACTATAGACCCCTGAAACCCCAAATCTGGACCGCCCTACTTCAACTGGGCTCAGCTGCCTTGGATCGTGCCTCGAGTACTTTGCTCGAAGGCTCCAAGCTCTCTGCCAAAGCAACCCTGGTCTTCAAAAGCTTCTCAAAGGCCTCTGCTAGGGGTAGTCGGGTTTATGGTTTAGGGTTTAGGGCTCTGGTAGGGGTAGTAGGGTTTAGGGTTTGGGGATCAAAGGCCTGCATTTAGGCCTTTAGTGGGTTAGGGGTGTTGAGGAGTTTGAGGCTCCAGGGATTAAAGGCCTCGGCATGTAGGTTTTAAGGGGTTATACGGATGTTCTAAGGGGGGTTGAGGGGAAGGGTTTGGGCTTTAGTTGGGGCTTAGGGCTTCTTACCCAAGCAAGTTGGGGAACGGGCTAGGGAAACTCAAGCAAGCTCTATGCTGAATCCCCTGTCCTATTACCAAACCCAGCACATGCAGGGTTCGGGCAGTCCACGAGTTCAGAGCTTCCACAGCTCATAGGAGCATTTTGGCAGTTTCTGAAAATGATCCCTATGCAATTTCTACTGGTCACCGCCAAAATTTTACTCTCATCTTTATGCTTCACTGGGGTCCCTCAAATAGGGGTTTGCTGTTTGAGGGACCCTCATTTGGGGATTCAGGTGAACACGGTGCTGAAGGCCCAAACCCTCGACTCTTAAGCCTGGAAGAAATACAACTGGTATAGGGCCCTAAAGTGCCCAAGACTCTGCCCAAAGCTCAACACATGATCCACCCACAGTTGTGCATTTGTCCTAACCCCTAACAGCTCTAAACCAAAACAAACAACCCAAACTTCCCCAAACCACACGTCTGGACTACAAGTATATAGCTGGGTTTATAACTCTACTGACTCTACCTAGTCCTCCTAGAAGGGGTTACCCCAATCCTCAGAGGGTTATAACCCCAGTTAGAAACAGTTATGAAGTCATGAACATCCAAGTAGACGAACTCTATCAACCCTAAACCCTGAACGTTCAACCCTCAAAGCTTTGGTTTGAGGATGCTCAAAGAGCAACATGGGTTTCAGGAGCAAGTTCGAGCCTCCTTTGTGAGTTTCCCTTGAGGTTTAGGTTTTCAGAATTTGGGTTTCAGGTTTAGAGTTTACGGTGCAGGGTTTGCGCTTAGGATTTCTATTCAGTTTTTTTTTTCAGCTGGTTCATAGGATTACATTGATACAGACAACAGAATTTTGGGAGAACTTCCAGGTCTGGGATTTGGAAATGACGCGTCGGGATATCTTTTGATCCAAGGTGTTAGTGCTTAGTCACCAATATCTTTATCTAGCTAATGTGAAGGTATAATATGGGTTGCATCAATGGTTAGTGTAGAAAGCAAGAACAATACGTACATACCAGTAAAAGTAAGAGCAACACAGCATCAGCAATGGAAATAGTAATCGTAATGGTTCCAGAAGAAGAACCTGCGCTGTGCGAGCCATGCGCTCGAAGGTCTGCCGCCTTGCTGCCAGGCAAGTCTCGGGTTCGGAGGCGGCCGCTGTCAAAGCTGGCGCAATGACGGCCTGGTTTTGCTGGGCTTGCTGCTAAGGACCTTAATTTTACGTTGCTATATTGGGGGAACCCTATTGATTACTATATATACCCATCATGGTAGCTTAATTGAAGTTCCATAACAGCAACCCTGTTTGGGGTTTTGGGTCTCGGGCGGAATGACGACCTTACACGGCGTTGCGATGTATGAAAATAGGGCTTGGTGTCTAGGAGCTAGGGTATCTTTACGTTGGACGTGACCTCTCTTTGGAAGTTACCTAGACCAGTGAAATACCGTGCATACTTGCCTTCACCCTATCATTTGGATATTTGGGAGGCCTAGGTGCGGTGTCGGGTGTAAGGGTGCAGGATGTAGGGTACTCTTACAGAACTCTGTAACATAGCATGCTGAGCTTGCTTCCATTTCGTCATGTGAGCCCTGGAGTAAAAATATAACTATAGCAGATTCCTCAAAAGTCCCCCCAATCCCTGTAGATCTCCCTATAGCTGCCCCCCTCCTAACTCTAGTCTGTAGCTCGTGTGGGAGAAGGCACCCCAGGTACTCGACGTCCACTTAGGTTTGGAGTCGTAGCTGGGATTCCAGTCAACAAGAACCAGTATCATTAACCAGTATCAACTTCAACCCAAAGATCCCGCACCTGGGTTTATGATGCCAATACGCCAGAAAACTGTTCGCAGCTGGAATCCCAGGTACGGTTAACCGTTTTGCACGGAGCCTTCAGCCTTCTGAAATGCTAAGGTGATGTTAAGTAGCAACTAGGGCGAGTAGCCCAGCCTCTTCTACTTGAAGGTTCAGGGGACTAAGTACTCATGTTGTAGATGGCGCCACGAGCAGACTTACCCCGATTCATAACCTACTTGCTCAGGCCCCAAGCCCGAAAAACCACAA